CATAACCGTTTTTTGTTCCAAATCCACACGCTGGGCCATGCACGGTGGCTCACACCTGTAATCCCAGCACTTTGGGAGGCTGAGGCGGGCGGATTGCCTGAGCTGAGGAGTTTGAGACCAGCCTGGTCAACATGGCAAAACCCTGTCTCTACTAAAAATACAAAAAACTCAGCCGGGCACAGTGGTGTGAGCCTGCAGTCCCAGCTACTCTGGAGGCTGAGACAGGAGAATTGTTTGAACCCGGGAGGTGGAGGCTTCAGTGAGCCGAGATCATGCCACAGCACTCCAGTCTGGATGACAGAGAGAGACTGTCTCAAAAAAAAAAAAAAAAAAAAAAACGGTTCCACACGGATCCCTCCTTGTACTAACATGCCCTGGTACTTTGGAATAACAAAGAAGAAGAAAGAAAAAAAGGAAGTATGTGGCTGGTGGTGACTTTAGAGATCATCGATTCCAACACTCTCAACAGGCTCCAAAAGAAAGTGCAGCTGCGAAAGCAAGGGGGCTTTGCATAGGCGATGGGGAGAGGGGCGTGCAGGGTGCGTGGTTTCGGAGAGCTGGAGCTGCCAAGCCCCTTGGACTTGACTTGCACCTCCAGTGGGTGAGCCTGGGCACTGCGGTTCATTTGCCTTTCGGCTCCCCACCCGCCTCCTGTGTGGGATGGAACTCACTCCTCCCAGGAGAGGCCAGGCGGGTTGAGGTGCCTCCTGGTGGCTGTGTGGCTCTCGAAAGAGGGAAAGAGACGGGATAAGAAGGGAGGATGAAGACAGAACCACTAAATGACTGAGGTTTCCTTCTCTTTGCTTGTTTGATCCGTCAAACCAGTGTCTCCACATTGAACCCCCATGCTGAGCTCAGGAGTGTGCAAGGGTCTGAGGGGCAGCAGGGATACCCCTTGCGAAGCCGTGTGCTTCCCTTTTGCCCTTTTTCTTGCAATGCTCTGGAAGGAGGCTTAAAAATAAAAAGAACTGAGATGGGGCCATTGAATTCTCTGGCGCCAAGTCTCAGCTCCCAGTGCAGAGAGTGAGATGACCAAGCCAGGGCCTGAGTGTCCACTTTGAGAGAGTCAACGCCTCAGCTTAGGGTTTCTCTGAGTGTCCACCTTGGAGAGTCCATACCTCATCTTAGGGTTTCTCCCTGTGAAAATGCAGCATGTCCGCCTCTTTCCAAGTTCTCAGTCTGGTCCCGGTTCTTCCTACACAAATTCATTTTAGGCATCTTGCCAACGGGGACCCCTCCTCCTGTCTTCCTGGTTTCCTGTTCCTCTCCTCACAACCACGAGCTGGTGCATTTGATCAGCCGTTCCACCCCCCTCCTCCACACCCCCACCCCGTGAAGTGAACACTCTCCTCAATCCTCCCCATTCAGCCTGGGCAAATCATCATGTCTTCTTGACATCTTAGATAACTCCAGTCCAAACACTGCCTCTCATCTCTTCTACATGGTTTGTATTTACGTTATGTACAGTTTAGTGCCGCATATGAAAAATCTGAAGGAATCAGTGACTCTAAAGAAAGACACCAGAAAGCAGCTTCTCCTCCCTAGTTTCAGCTACTGCTCTGTGAACCGCAGTCAGATGTGGAAGTTGAAAATTTAATTATTTTTTTTTCTGTTTTTTGTACACCGAAAATATTGTAGACCTTTAATAAATATGTCATTAGAGAAAAAAAAATGAATGAATGGATAAATGGATAAGTGAATGAATGCAAGGCCCATGTTGAGGTACTCTAATTAATTAATTAAATTCAGCCTTTGTCTCAAGGAATTTGCAATATAAAAGAGAAGATAAACTCTTTGCAATTTTCTCTTATACAAAACAGAATGGCCACCCTATCATAAATAATCGGGGAGCCGACAGAAGAGAAAGACTAATTATGTCTGCTTCAGAAAAGGCTTTATAAAGAAGACATAATTTGAGTCACTTTTGAAAGACTAGGATTTAAAAGGTGGAAACAGTCTTGAGGAACATTCCAGAAACTTCTGAGAGGTTATAAATGCAGGACAGGAGCAAAGACATGGAAGGCTGTGAGCTCCTTAAAACCGGAGTCTATGTCTTGCGCGTTTTCATCTCTTCCTCCTCATCTCGATGCCTGACTGCAGCAGTAACTGTGTGAGGATTTGGTGCTATGTGCAGGGGTATGTTTTGAAAAGGTGGGAAATTTGGCTAGTACAGGATTTTAGAGAGGTAGGAAATAGTTTTAAAGATTAGGCTGAAGGCAGAAGACCCTGAGGCTCACCTCAGGAACACAAGACATGATTCTGGGGGTGGGAAGGACTGACTTGCTGGTTCTGGTCCTTGTTCTTCCACTCACCTGTTGTGTGACCTTGGAGAAGTTTGGCCACTGCAGCCTTAAGGTTTCTTACCTGTAAAAAATGCATGGAAATGGGTGGATGGGCCGGTCATGCGCCTGCGAGGTTCTGCAGGTCACCATCTGCTGCTAACTGTCTCTTTGAGGTTCAAAACCACCAAGGAGGGGGTGGCAGGGTGGGGGCGTTGCTCTCTCCCCTGCTTCATGCTCATCCAGCTGTGTGCAGGCAGCTCCTCCCTGGGCTACTGGAGGCACAGGGCCTAGGCCAAGATGCTGCCAGGAACCCCTGGAAATCATTCAACTCTCATTTCTTTTTTTTGTTTGTTTTTGTTTTTGAGATGGAGTCTCGCTCTGTCACCCAGGCTGGAGTGCAGTGGTGCGATCTCGGCTCACTGCAACCTCTACCTCCCGGGTTCAAGCACTTCTCCTGCCTCAGCCTCACTAGTAGCTGGGACTACAGGTGCCCGCCACCACGCCCTGCTAATTTTTGTATTTTTAGTAGAGACAGGGTTTCATGATGTTGGCCAGGCTGGTCTCAAACACCTGACCTTGTGATCTGCCCACCTAGGTCTCATTTCTTTGAAAATCAGAAGAGAGAAATGATTATAGTAATAATGAATTCCTCTTGGATCATATTCATGTTTGTATCAACTCATTTAAAAATATATCTCTTAGTATTTATATAGAGGAACGACCCCCCTCTGTCCCAAAGAAAACATGCCTGGGACCATGGACTTCATGTCACTGTGCTGACTGCTTGAGCTTCTCTTGTGAACCATGTGCTGGTGGCACAGAGTTGAAAAACACTGACAAGGGGCCTGTCCTCAGGGAACTTCTATCTAAAGGTGTGTAGCTAGGTTGTGCGATTGACTGAGAAGACTCGTAAAACATCACATACACGCACGGTTTTTGCAATGAATAGGGTATACTTCTAGAACACCAGCAAACCATGTTTGCCCCTAAAAAGCAAAAGTTGGTTGACATTCAGGTAACCCTGTTGAATCCTCAATCCAGCTGGAAAGGCGAAGCTCCAGCCAGTGTCGGAAAAGTCACTGAAGCTGTGTGCGCGCAGGTAGGTGCACTGGCAGCATCAGACTCACGGAGTTTGCTCCTGGGGCAGCTTTGTGGTTAAAATGCATTTTGGAAAAGAAATGTTCAGAGGTTCTAGGGAAGTGGCAGGAACCCAGTGCTACTAACTAGGCATGTAGTCCGACGTGTCAAGAGCAATTTTATATGGAGTGACTCCCCTTCCGAGGGCACAAAAAGAAAGTGTTGCTTTTTGCATGAAAGTGTCAGTGCTTGCAACTTATGAAAGACACTGCTAAAAGCAGAGGCTCTATTTTTATTCTCCACAGCCTGGCCACCGCGGTGCCGGGGGCTCTGCTGCCAAAGAGGAAACATGCACAAGTCTGGTCAGTAAATATCACCAGCTAGACAGTCCCAGCTGTTGTTCCAGGATGCGTTTTCTCATTCCTATCTGACAGGTTATCCTTCCCGGAACCGGGATCCAGAGGGTTTTCTAGTGTGGTAACTAGAAAACATAACATAAAGTTTACCATTTCAGCCATTGTTAGGTGTGCGCTTCAGGGGCATTAAGTACATTCACATTGTTGTGCAACAAAATCAACACCATCCATCTCTGGAAAGTGTACATCTTTCCCTAATTGAAACTCTGTCCCCATCAAACACTGACTCCCCATTATCCCTTCCTCAACCCCTGGCCACCCCGCTTCCACTTTCTGTCTCCATGAAATGGGATGACTTGAGGGACATCCTAGGAGTGGAATCATACAGTATTTGTCCTTTTGTGTCTGGCTTGTTTCACTTAGCATGCTATCTGCAAGCTTCATCCATGTTCTGGCACGTGTCTATGCTTCCTTTTCAAGCAGAATAATATTCCACTGTAAATGGATACACGATGTTTTGCTTATTTGTCTGTTGATGGACACTGGGGAGGTTCCCACATTTTGACTATTGTGAATAATGTTGCCGTGAGCGTGCCTGTTAGGACATCTGAGTTCCTGCTTTCAATTTTTTTGGGCATATACCCAGAAGTGGAATTGCTGGATCGTAAGCTAATTCCATGTTTACTTTGTTGAGAAATGGCTATGCTATTTTTATTCAGTGGCTGTAGCATTTCACATTCCCACCAGCACAAGAATTCCAATTTCCCTACAGCCTACAAAACTTTATCTTTTGCTTTTTGTCTTTATAGCCGTCAGCCTAGTGGCTGTGAAGTGGTATCTCATTGTGGTTTTGATTTGCATTTTCATAATGACTAGTGGGATTCAGCATGTTTTCATGCATCTGGGCTTTTAACTCTGTGTCTGCTTTGGTTTGGATGGCGGTTGCTGCAGCAGGAAGTGTGGTCATGAATAGGAATATTCATGCCGGGAAGCTGAGGGAAACTTGAGGGATCACCTAGACCAGCTGATATGGTTTGATTGTGTACCCACTCAAATCTCATCTTGAATTGTAGCTCCTATAATCCCCACGTGTTGTGGGAGGGACCCAGTGGTAAGTAATTGAATCATGGGGCCGGGTGGCAGTTACCTCCATGCTGTTCTCTTGGTAGTGAGTGAGTTCTCACGAGATCTGATGGTTTTATAAGGGGCTTTCCCCCTTCTCTCTGCACTTCTTCTTGCTGCCGTCATGTGAAGAAGGACATATTTGCTTCCCCTTCCGCCATGATTGCGAGTTTCCTGAGATCTCCCCAGCCCTGCAGAACAGTGAGTCAGTTAAACCTCTTTCCTTTATAAATTACCCAGTCTTGGGTATTTCTTCATAGCAGCATGAGAACAGACTAATACACAGCCTTCTACAGCCTTGTGAGATTTTTGTAGAAGCAGCACAGTGGTGGGTGATCTGCTGGGCCTGGGGCTAGGGGAGACTGGCTGCACCTTCCTCTGGCTCCCTCTGCCTCCAGGGTGGGCTCCAGGTCTCCTTCAGAGAATGCTGCTGGAAACTACCCAGCAAGGCCAAGCCCTGATTTTACAGATAGGCACAATATGTGTCTGAGGCACTATGGCCCGCGAGTGACAGAGCGAGGACTACAGCTCAGGTCTTTAGAGCTTTTTTGTTTTCCACGCCAGCCACCCCCACTGCCGTCAGAGATGGAGTCAGGCAGGGAGTGCTAAGAGTCAGAGTGGAAAGGAGGACACTGCGCTGAGCACACAGAAGGTTCACCACCGGGGATGCTGCCACAGTCTCAGGAGTAATTTGCATCAATTCGATAAACGTCTATCTGGAAACATCCAAGAGTCAGGTATGTCGGAGTATATAGATATTAATAAACAAAGATCTCATCTCATAGATATTCACAGTCACAGAAATGAAACCATAGACGCTTGCAAACGCTTGGGAGTAGGAAGAGGGCAGAGCTGCTGTCTCATGATTGGAGCGTGGGCTCAGGGGAACCCTGGTGCATGTGGCATTGGGAGTGACGGGGGTGGTCTGGGAGAAAAACAGCAAACCATTCAAAATAATTAAGCTTACTTTGGACAGAGGAAGAGGATCATTTGGTAACAACAACGTCAGAATGAGAATCGAAAATTGAAGGACATGAGCCAAGAGGTGTTTACTGGGACACAGGTTTGGGCATAGCTGAAGGCCCAGGTGGGGTGGGGGGGCACCCGGGTGTGAGCATAGCTGAAGGTCCAGGTGGGGTGGGGGTACCTGGGTGTGGGCATAGCTGAAGGTCCAGGTGGGGTGGGGGTACCTGGGTGTGGGCATAGCTGAAGGTCCAGGTGGGGTGGGGGTACCTGGGTGTGGGCATAGCTGAAGGCCCAGGTGGGGTGGGGGGGGACCCGGGTGTGAGCATAGCTGAAGGTCCAGGTGGGGTGGGGGTACCTGGGTGTGGGCATAGCTGAAGGTCCAGGTGGGGTGGGGTACCTGGGTGTGGGCATAGCTGAAGGCCCAGGTGGGGTGGGGGGGGACCCGGGTGTGAGCATAGCTGAAGGTCCAGGTGGGGTGGGGGTACCTGGGTGTGGGCATAGCTGAAGGTCCAGGTGGGGTGGGGGTACCTGGGTGTGGGCATAGCTGAAGGCCCAGGTGGGGTGGGGGGGGACCCGGGTGTGAGCATAGCTGAAGGTCCAGGTGGGGTGGGGGTACCTGGGTGTGGGCATAGCTGAAGGCCCAGGTGGGGTGGGGGGGACCCAGGTGTGGGCATAGCTGAAGGCCCAGGGTTTTGGAGAGCTGGGAGGGGTATAGCTGAAAGCCCAGGGTTGGGGGACCTGGGTGTGTGTATTGCTGGAGGCCCAGGGTGGAGGGACCTGGGTGTCAGTATAGCTGAAGGCCTGGCCGGAGGCGGAGGGTGGTGTTGCTATGTGGAGAAGAGGCCCCGTCTTTCTGTGGGAACCAATGTTCAGAAGTTCTCTAGTAGTTTGTCAAGGACACAAAAGGTATAGAATTCTGCAATATGTGCTTATAATAGAAAAGAGTTTTAAAGCTGAAGAACAAGTGGTCTTTTATTTGCTGTATTTAAAGAATGGCCTTACTGAAATGAGCTGTGCTAATGCAGACATGAGAAGGGGAAGGAATAATATGCTCACACGTTTACTAGGGGCAGGGATAAACAGATTTTACAGAATCCTACTGGGGAAGCCTAGAAGATGAAGTTTCTTTATGAGAAAACTAAGATTGTGGCCAAGTACATTACCTACTAGACCCAGGAGCAGATGATTCGTATATCTGGCTGAGCCCAGTGATGTACCTGACTGAAGCTCTGAGTTATGAAAACCCAAATATTAGGACAATCTCATATTTAAATGCAAGCATAGTTTCTCAACAAAGTTGCCTTAATAACCTAGAGAGCGACCCCTTCTCCCTTCCTCTTCTTTCTCCCTTCCTCTCCTTCCTTCCCTCCTTCCTTCCCTCCCCTCCTCTCCCCTCCTCTCCCCTCCTCTCCCTCCCTCCCTCCCTCCGTCCCTCCCTCCCTCCCTTCCTTCCTTCCCTCCTTCCTTCCTTCCTTCCTTCCTGTTCTCTAGCCCCTTTCAGGGTGGGAACCTTTAATAGAATGGAATTCTAAAGAACCTGAAGTCTTCAGAAGTGTACAAGACTGGTATTATGCAATATTTAGTGTTGCTTTTCCAATTTGAAGCCAGGATGCTGGAGGAAGGTCCGAGATCCAGGGAATAACTTTGAGTGATTGTAACGGGAGAGAAGAGGGACTCCTGGAGGTGCACATGAGGTTAGTTCTGAATGGGCTAACAAGTAAAATAAGAAACAATTTTGCACAATACCTTGAATGCCATTGTGTGTTCATGGTGATCCAATACTAAGACTTTCCTATTGGTAACAGCCTGCATTTATATACCTTCCGAGATGGTAAGGGTGTCCCTAAAGAGTTGCTTGTGGATGTTCTAAATAAGTTTTAAGGTACCATGAAGTGTCTGGGGCATTTCTGGCCAACAACACAAGAGAAGGGGTAATGGTCTAGGCAATGGCAGCATATTCTTATGCTCAGGCATGATGGCTATGGGTCAGTGTAATGGCTGCCTTGGAAGAAAATTTAAAAATCCTTTAATCCTACCCACTTCTCTGAGATATGGAAAAACCTCAGTATTTCAACACATGAAAAGAGCTAAATTCCTTGCTCAGGATCAAACAGCTGCCTATGGGCAGGGCTCTGGTGAGAACTGAGGCCTTCTGAGTTTTAGACCAATGCCTTTCCAGTATGCAATCACTCAGTGGCCATTGGTGAAGGCCACCCACTCCCCTCTCTCCTGCAATCCAGGTAGTTCCTGTGGTATAGCCTCATCCTCAGGCGTGTTTGAAGCAGGTACAGCTCATCCTACTCTGGAGGACATGAAGAAATTAATTAAGCACCAGCAGCGCCCAGCCATCATTTTAAAGAAAATCACCATTTAGATTTTGGGGCTCTCTGGGTGGCCATGAATATGTCTCACCACAGATTATATTGGGTGGTAATTTTCTTCTTGCATGAACAATGATTCCTCCTAGATTCGCTTTACAATCTGGTGAATATTAAATTGTTATTACAGCATCGCTTCTTTCACTTCATTTTATTTTACTACCAAGGTTATGGGCTCAATGTTGTAGTTAAGTTTATTTCACTTACAATCGAAATCTATTTTGGTCACTTGTTAGCTTTCTCTGTCTTGTTTGTAAATTGGCTTCCTTTTCTGCTGCAAAGGTAGAAGAGGCCAGGGCACAGGCAGTAGGCTTGATTTCATGTTTCAATAGTAGGTAGCTTTCTGCCATCTGAATAGTGACCTGATTCTCAGACCCGTCGTATTAGTCCACTCTAGCATTGTTATAAAAAACTACCTGAGACTTGGTAATTTATAAGGCAAGAAGGTTTAACTGGCTCGTGGTTCTGCAGGCTGTGCAGGAAGCATGGCTGGGGAGGCCTCAGGAAACTTACGGTGATGACGGAAGGCGAAGGAGAAGCCGGCATGTCCCGCATGGCTAGAGCAGGAGGAATAGAGTGAAGGGGGAAGTAGATCTGAAGATTTGAAGACAGTGAGATTTGAAGATCTCACAAGATCTTCAACAACCAGATCTTGTGAGAACTCACTATCATGAGAACAAGAGAGAAATCCGCCCGCATGAGCCAATTACCTCCCACCAAGCCCCTCCTCCAACACCGAGGATTACAATTTGACATGAGATTTGGGTGGAGACACAGAAACCATAGCACCCTGTTCAAGGTGAAATAGTTAAATTCATAGGTTATGTGTCCTTGTTACTTTTTACGTATCCCTAACAGTTGCTGTGTCCATGCGACTGTAGTAATCACATTTCCAGCTCTGCAAATGTGATGCTTTGACATCTGCTCTACATGGATATGCTGGACACATAATCTTCTGGACCACCCTGTCATGTGCCTGAATCACCTTGCAATGGTTCCGGTCTCCTTCTCCCTACCTCCTCTTCTTGGAAGTAGTTCTGTGAGGCATGCTTTCCACTAGGATGCATCTGGGGGGCCACATCTCAACCCCCTTTTTATCATACTCTCACACTCAAGACCTCTACCCTATTCATCTGCCCTAATCACCTCACAACCAGATCCGAGACAACTGAGGCCAGTCCGTATGCCCCAGAGCCCCCAGAATTTATTCAAACTAGCCAGACCTAAGCCTGCTAAGCCTGCCTTGCTATGGAAGCCATAATAAAGGCTCTTGCCAGCTTTCCCTTCCCTCTGCCTCTGGCCTTGGGCTTCCTTGCATGGCCCTGGGGCTGTGCCCACCTCTTCCTCTTGGGATCTGTGAGTAGCAAACCACCTTTCCCATGGTAGCTGACTCCCAGGTGGCTGGCCTCGCCACAACTCAAGTTTTCTATTAATACCCTAAGTTGTAAAACAGCTATGTCTCTTTATTCCGGCAGACATTCTAAATGTACTATCTTTTTGGAAATGTCACATTCTTGAGTTATCTTTTTACACAGTTTCACCTTAGTTCACTCATAACAGATCCAATTATTTGATTTTGTAGAAATTTCTTAATGTAGACGTCAAATACCATTCATTCTATTGTCTGAATCTTGTGCTAATCATAAAATTGCAGTTGGAATTTTTGCTATTTATTTATTTATTTATATTTACTGGCCATAAGCTTTAGGTCCACTCTTTCTTTCTAACCAGTCTATAAAACTGGGGTTCTCTTTGGGTCTCCTACTTCCTTGTTAAGGATTGCAATATTTACTGATTAAAAGAAATAAATCTGCCTAAGTAAAATCTCCTCAGTGCTGGGCCAAATACTTTATTCTCCTTGTAATGTTGATCTTTTCATTTTTTATTTTATTTTATTTGAGTGGCAGGGTCTCACCCTGTCACCCAGGCTGGAGTGCAGTGGAGTAATCATTGCTCACTGCAGCCTGGAACTCCTGGGCTCAAGCGATCCTCCTGCCTCAGTCTCCTGAGTAGTTGGGACTACAGGCATGTGCCATGACACTCAGTTATTTTTATTTTATTTTATTTGTTTGTAGAGACGGTTTTTTTCATGTTGCCCAGGCTGGTCTGAAACTCCTGGGGTCAAACAATCGTCTCACTTTGGCCTCACAAAATGCTGGGATTATAGGCATGAGCCGTCACGCCTGGCCGATCTCTTTATTTTGTGAATGTCTTGATTTCATATTTATAGTTTGTTATGAGCACCTCTGGGTCACATCAGTAAATAAGCCCATCAGTCAATGGATCCTGTGCTGTGTTCTGTTCTAGGTTCTTTGGGGGAATGCAGGAGAATGATCAAAGTTTCATGGATCTTATACCCAGGTTAGAAAGACAACGCTAAAACACATGAAATTACAGAAATAATACCAAAATATGATGAAGTACTAAATTATGTGTAATTTTTATCTAAATGCTGCCTGATTTTAGGGATGAAGGTAATCAAGGAAGCCATTAGTTGGGATAATTATTGGGACCTCAAAAACTATTTAGATGGTGACAGACTGCTGGAGATAGACTGATCAGGGTACATTTTTTAAATAAAATAATTACCAGACCAATAAAAAAAGAGGATGGAAAAGGAAGGAGAAGAGATGAGAAGGAATAGAGATGGGATTGGCAATAGTCTATTAGTCCAGGGCTTTGATGGTCTAATTAAAAAAATCCCAGTCATCCTTTAAACAACAGGGCACACTACAGGCTGCCAATTGTGTGAGTTACTTGAGGAAAACAGGCACTTGCTAAGGGGTAGCAGTCCTGACATGCTGCAGTGCAGCAGACGTGCTAAGGGGTTTAATCCTAGAGCAGCAGCCCCGATGTTCTGCAGTGTAGCAGACTGGACTCGGGGGCTGATGGCCGGGTCATGAAAACTGCTTTGGTGAGGTCCCTGACCCAGAAAGTTGTGCTAGGAGAGCTTGTTTCCAAAAGCTTTTCCAAATTCAGGCTTCAGCTAGAGTCCTACTCCTAAAGCCCTGATTCTTGTATGGACTTCTCTGGGTTCCCAGTGTTTTAATATTTTCTACTTTTTACCTATGGATCTATTCAGAAAGAGCTTAGACTCCTTATCTTTTCTTACCTGAGAGACAGTTCCTTTTGGGGATGAGGAGTTTAATATGAGAATGCCTCCCAAGCTCACGGTCCCTCTTTCTACTTGTGGTTTAATGAATATGAATTATTTCAAAGGTTGCTGCTTAAATTAGCTTCTTTCCTTTACCTTTACAAAATGCTTTCAGAAAATTTTATACTGAAATGCGACTAGAGATTTTAAAATGAGTGAGTTTGATTTTGCTGGCCACACAGAAATGCACATTTCTATTTCACAGGTTTGTTTTAGGGGTTGATATGGTTTGGTTGTGTCCCCACACAAATCTCATATTGAATTGTAACTCCCCAAATCTCCATATGTTGTGGGAGGAGCCCAGTGGGAGGTAATGGAATCATGGGAGTGGGTCTTCCCCATGCTGTTCTCGTGATAGTGAATAAGTCTCATGGATCTGATGGTTTTATAAAGGACAGTTCCCCTGCACAAGCTCTCTCTTGCCTGCCACCATGTAAGACATGACTTTGCTCCTCATTCACCTTCCGCCATGATTGTGAGGCCTCCCCAGCCATGTCAAACTGTGTGTCCATTAAACCTCCTTCTCTTTATAAATTACCCAGTTTTGAGTAAGTATTTATTAGCAGTATGAGAATAGACTCATACAGTAAATTGGTACCAGGTAGTGGGGTATGCTGTAAAGATACCTGAAAATGTGGAAGCGACTTTGACCCTAGGTAACAAGCAGAGGTTGAAACAGTTTGGAGGGCTCAGAAGATGACAGGAAAATATGGGAAAGTTTGGAACTTCCTAGAGACTTGGAGAACTCAGAAGACAGAAAGATGTAAGAAAGTTTGAAACTTCCTAAAACTTGTTGAATAGGTTTGACCAAAATTCTAGTGATATGGACAATGAAGTCCAGGCTGAAGTGGTCACAGATGGAGATGAGGAGCTTGTTGTGAGCTGGAGTAAAGGTCACTGTTGCTATGCAAAGAGACTGGCAGCATTTTGCCCTTGCCCTAGAGATCTATAGAACTTTGAACTTGAGAGAGATGATTTAGGGTATCTGGCAGAAGACATTTCTAAGCAGCAAAGTGTTCAAGAGAAAGCAGAGCATAAAAGTTTGGAAAATTTTCAGCCTGACAATGTGACAGAAAAGAAAAACCCATTTTCTTGGGAGAAATTCCAGCCTGCTGCAGATATTTGCATACGTAACAAAGAGCCAAATGTTAGTCACCAAGACAATGGGGAAAACGTCTCCAGGGCATGTCAGAGACCTTTGTGGCAGCACTCTGATATCACAGGCACAGAGGCCTAGGAGGAAAAAATGGTTTCCTGGGCCAGGCTCAGGGGCCCCTTGCTGTATGCAGTCAAAGGACTTGGTGCCCTGCCTTCCAACCACTCCAGCTGTGGCTAATAGGAGCCATGGCACAGTCTGAGCTGCCTTTGCTCCTCCTTCACCTTCCACCATGAAT